GGGACGACAGCCACGAGCGTCACACGGGGCCAGTGTCACCGGGGGGGCTTTAATGGGGACCCCCAAACCCCCAGGGACATTTCTGGGGGGACCTCAAGGTCTGGGGGGGGTCGATCGGAGATTGGGGGGTCCCCACGTGGATTTGGGGGGTCCATCAGGTGTTTGGGGGTCCATTGGGTGGTTTTGGGGGTCCCTCAGGTGTTTTTTGGGTCCATCCAGGGGGTCCATCAGGCGTTTTTGGGGGTCCCTCAGGTGGTTTTGGGGTCCCTTGAGGTGTTTGGGAGTCCATCAGGGTTTTGGGGTCCATCCAGAAGGTCCATCAGGTGTTCTTGGGGTCTCTCAGGTGGTTTTGGGGGTCTCTCAGATGTTTTGGGGACCTTCAGGTGGTTTTGGAGTCCATCCAGGGGGTCCATCAGGTATTTTTGGGGGTCTCTCAAGTAGTTTTGGGGTCCGTCAGGGTTTTGGGGTCCATCCAGGAGGGTCCATCAGGTGTTTTTGGGGTCCCTCAAGGTGTTTTGGAGTCCACCAGGGTTTTGGGGGTCCATCCAGGGGGTCTCTCCGGTGGTTTTGGGGTCTCTCTGGTGGTTTTGGGGGGGTCTCTCCGGTGGTTCTGGGGTCTCTCAGGTGGTTTTGGGGGGGTCTCTCAGGTGGTTTTGGGGTCTCTCTGGTGGTTTTGGGCTCTCTCCGGTGGTTCTGGGCTCTATCAGGTGTTTGGGGGGTCCCTCAGGTGATTTTGGGGTCCCTCAGGGGTAGGGGGGCTCCACCTCGATGGACACGATGTGGTGCCCGGGGACCATGGCCAGCCCCAGGACTCGGGGTTCGCTGCCCGGGAACGCGTCTGCGGGGGGAGAAAGGGCTCAGAACCCCCAAAAAACCCAAAAACCCCACCAAAAAAAACCCCAAATCCTCCTAAAAAATAACCAAAAAAACCCAAAGACTCACACAAAAAAAAAACACAAAAAACCCAAACCCTTCTCCTAAAAAATAACCAGAAAAACCCAAAGACTCCCACAGAAAACCCAAACCCTTCCCCTAAAAGATAACTAAAAAAAAAACTCAAAAAACCCACAAAAATACTAAAAAACCCCACAAAAAACCCAAACCCTTCTCCTAAAAAATAACCAAAAAACCCCAAAGACTCCCACAAAAAAACCCACAAAAACCCCAAACCCTTCCCCTAGAAGATAACTAAAAAAACCAAAAAACCCACAAAAAATACTAAAAAACCACACAAAAAAACCCTAAAAAATCCCACAAAAAACCCAAACCCTTCTCCTAAAAAATAACCAAAAAAAACCCCAAAGACTCCCACAAAAAAAACCCTAAAAATCCCACAAAAAATCACTAAAAAACCCACACAAAAACCCCAAAACCTCCTAAAAAAGCCCCAGGGACCCCAAAGATCCACACAAAAACCCCAAAGGCTCCCACAAAAAAAACCCCCAAAACCCCAAAGATCTGCCAAAAAAAAACCCCAGAAACTCCCACCAAAAAACCCTAAAAAACCCCACAGAAAACCCCAAAACCTCCTAAAAAAGCCCCAGGGACCCCCCAGCCCTCAGCAGTTCCTGTGCCAAGCGCAGGATCCCGCTCTGGCAGCGGAGCAGAGGAAAATCCCGATCCCACCTCCCCCAGACCCTCAGAGTCAGCCAAAAAAACCCAAAACCCCCAAAAAATCCCCAAAA